GTTCTTAGAAATCAGACGGGAAGACAAAATATTTTGAACTGAGAAGTAGCAAGCATTTCCAGAATTTAATCTCCTCCTAACTTCCTCTTGAGTGTCATTTTGATTTGTTATTGTTGTTCCCAGATATTTGAACTTTGTCCCCCTTTCAAAGGACTTATTAGCCACCCTAAGATAATTTTGCCCGCCTGTCTTCTGATGACGAGATACTAACATGTACTTAGTTTCCTTCTAGCCCCACCTTTCTCTTAGCCTCTAGTAAAACTTCTGCGTTCCTCTTTATTGTATTTATATCGTCCCCCAATAAATTAACATCATCAGCAAATGCCAATAGCTGATGTGTCCCGTTCAATTGCAAACCCTCTTTACGTATCTTAGACTCTCCTGATGGCGTATTCTAGCGCAAAGTTAAAGAGCAGTGGAGACAAAGCATCTCCTTGTTTCAGACCGTTCTTGATGGAAAATGAATCAGATAAATATTTACATATATGTGGCCCTCTGAAACGTCTGCCAGACTACACGGCGTTACAACCCAGAAGACAGCCATCTTCGGCCTCGTCGCCTTGGAAACCTCGAATCCTACAATACATCTGTCTCGCTTTTTAACATTCACATTTTTCTTCTGCGATGTTCATTACGTTGACAGACGTCTCGCGATGTTACTGAAATGTAATTCTGTGTTTCTTGGGATTTTAGTTTTATTGTGGACAGACTACAAAACGTATTAATTGGAACATTTTTTCGTTGTTTGGTGTTCTACACGCTGTATCCTCAGCGAAAACTCCTGGTTCCGTACATGTGCGTATACCTATCTGTCGCATTTCCCCTAGGACGTAGGCAGTCATTGTTACAGTACGTCTACGATTATGGGAGTTAATGATTTCTTGCAATTACTATTAAACAGACTTGAAATTATTGTATTTAAATGTTAGTCGTAATAGTCATTGTGTGGAGGTTTTAAACACGCAAATAGACGAGTCTGTGCCTAAAAAATATGACCTTTTTGTCCTGTGTCGTAACTTCAAGATAACCGGTGAGTTTCAGCTGATAAAATTTCCCGGTTGTAGCCAAGTTTGTGTTATTGTACTTCAGGAATACTAAAAGTTACAGCGATATCGGAGAACTTGGACGACTAAGGCAGTAATGCCTCGTAGGATGTTATTGTAAGGAAGTTCAAGCGAGGAAAAATGGTTCTGCCTGTAGTGTGAAACCATGTATAAAATCATTCTTTTGGAGTTATCCATCATCTGAGTGCGTTTTATGAAAAATAGCTTAGCAGTTCTGTAATCATTACATGCGTGCAGATACGACGTGTTCTTGATCGAAACAATGTTCTTTGTGCATTTATGTAGCCCGTACGACTGAATAGCCAAGCTTGTATTATGTACCTGCATCAGTGCTACAAATGGACCCACTTAGTATAATTAAATCAAAACAAGACAGTGCAGATACACACACATATATATAGACAACAGCGTAATATAGGAATGACGTAGTCCAGTGGTATTCAACCTTCTTTGTTCGCGTATCCCCAGATATAATTTCTCTTCAACTTTGTACCCCCCAAAGTTGTTGGTGTATAATTCAAGTTATACATAGTATATAATCTACATCTAAAATAAATTAAATAAATTACATTACTGATTATTCAATGTTTATCATAAAATAATATTTTTTTTTAAATTTCACGTACCCCCTAAGATGTCTTCGCGTACCCCCAGATATAATTTATCTTCAACTTTGTACCCCGAAAGTTGTTGGTGTATAATTCAAGTTATACATAGTATATAATCTACATCTAAAATAAATTAAATAAATTACATTACTGATTATTCAGTGTTTATCATAAAATAATATATTTTTTAAAAATATCACCTACCCCCTAAGATGTCTTCGCGTACCCCAAGATATAATTTCTCTTCAACTTTGTACCCCCCCAAAGTTGTTGGTGTATAATTCAAGTTATACATAGTATATAATCTACATCTAAAATAAATTCAATAAATTACATTACTGATTATTCAGTGTTTATCATAAAATAATATATTTTTTAAAAATATTACGTACCCCCTAAGATGTCTTCGCGTACCCCAGATTGAATACCACTGACGTAGACGACACAGTTGAATAAACAGAAAAACATTAAGAAGTAATAATAACTTAATGAGTCCATTTGACTGTGTTACAAGCAGTTGGCAGGTATTTTTTATTATGGAACTGAATTACAGTAGGTAATCAAAGATAGGAACATTAGCCTGATGACATCTTGTGTGCCGAAACGTTGCTAAAAAGATATTTATTGTTTAAAAAGTATGATGATACTGACAGTGAATTTCAAAGCCAAGGCTGGGACAGTGGTTATAATTAATAACTTTTATAAATGCCATTTTTTTTACTTTCATTTTACGTGTTTATACTTTTCAAAGCTTCCAGTATTATTTTTAAATTTACACAAAATACTTGTTGGAATGGGCCCCCCATTAATTTTGATTAATAACAAAATCACGAAAGAGAATGCGTGTGGTAGTGGGTAGATGTTAATGGAGATATTATTGCTTGCAGTATGGACGGGTCGGACCTGTGTTTCGAGGTGGTTCGACGCGCGAGTGCCGGGTTCGTGTACAGCGAAGCAGTAGCGAGGTAAGTAATTGATAAGGCTAATTGCCTACGGCTAATGAGCTGTGTCCTTCACGATGCCCGATAACTCCCAGAGGGTATCTAAAGTTTCGTTGTGATAGACTAAACACGTAAGCCGCCCATGTGCGACAGTTTTCTGTGCCATTAGCTTGTTATTAATTTGTATGGTCGACTAAAGAATTTAAACTTCCGGACGCATTCTGGTTTGCTGTTCATTGAGTTTTCGTCGGAGATGCTCGAGTGTCCTTTGTAGGCATTTTGAGAGCGGTCCTGTGCACTGTGTTATTTTTTTTTTATTGTGGCTAACGTGCTCGCCACTGGACCCGAGGTTCGCGGGTTCAAACCCGGTCGAGGTCTCGATGGATTTTTAATGGTGATAAGAAAAACTTTATGGAAGTTATGTGGTTACGTTAAGTACGTGTACTGTCAAAAATCGATCTATCCGCTATACAGGCTTGTAAATATCAAACAGATCTCTTTATGCATTAAACTTTATATGGTTTCCTAGCTACGGAACGGAAATGATCACTAGAATAACTTAACTAACTAATAACTTAAGAGTGGAGTTATGAGGTATGCAAAGTTTTCAACAACTTAGCTGTAAAATATGTTCTTTTCAATGACGAGTTTATCTTCAGTCTTTTGCTAGTAATACAACAGAACATTTTTGGTAATTCAGAAGATGCAGCCTACGAATTAAGATACTGTGTCACTCGAATGAATTCTTTTTTTTTTTTTTTTTTTTTAATTTGTGTGATGTGAAGTATCACATACGTGATGATCATTTTTCACTGTTTTTGGTCCCATGATTGCAGAATTTATAAAAGAACTAACGCGTTTTTACAGCGTATTTGGCGAGCAGAGAATTCGTCTCATGCACATAAATATGATTTGTACTGTTGCATTAAGCTGTTTGCTTCTATTCAGAACCACATCACGTAACGAGAGTAAAGCTGTCTTAAGAATTTTGAAGTCGGTGTTACGTTGGACTATTAAGAGGGAGAAAATTAGATATGGAGTTTAAGGATTACGACAGCTGCTATGGCCGTCTCGTAGCTGCCCTCTTCGCCGAGTTACAGATACGAAAGTTAAATTGCAGGAAGTGGATTCGACGGGCGAAGGAATAATCTGTTTGCAGAAGGCTAAAAATGTGAAACCAAGTTCTCATCATTTGATCGTATGAGTAGCCGAGTGGCAAATGCATGTCCCACCTGCTTTATCTAGTAACATTTTGTACGAAGATAGATATTGAACGTACTGAAGAATTCAATTCTAAAAGTTTGTGTCGATGGTGCGTTGAAGTAAAACGTTTTCTGGATATTTTCCGCCGTCTAATAATAAAATCCACGACGTTTCGGAGATGCAATTATATCTCTGTCTTCATGTAGACCTATATTTTGGCCCAATATATAGAGCTAATCCCTATGTCCGGACCCCGAGATAGGGATTAACTCATCTCCGAAACGTCGTGGATTTTATGGTTTTATTATTAGACGGCGGAAAATATCTAGAAAACTATGTACAGAAAAATCACTATGAGACTTTTTTGTTTGTTAATAAGACATAGCAACGATGACAAATGATGTTTTATCGTACACGTAATCTACAAATATAAATTATACCCATAAACTTATAACTAAATTGTACTTATTAATTTGTGACTACTGGTAGCATTGAAGTATAATTAGACTGAAACATTTGTTACATTAATTACTCCCTGCCCTTACTGATATCTGGTGATTTAACACATCTCCACGATGACGACATTCTGTCGTCACGGCCGGAAACCATGTTGCTCTGCTCTGAGCATCACTTCAATGTTAAACGATCGTAGGGACTAATATGTGTGTGTCTCACGTTAGACTATTTCAAAGAGCCTTAAGTTCCTTGCGGAGGCAGAGAGTTGAAGCTAGGGTACGGGAATTTTAACTTCTCAGTTTATTTACGCAGTGTACTCTCTGTTTTGTTTTGTTTTGTTTCGGAAACATCCTGGCTGCATATATAGAATACGTGTGCTTGTAAACACGGCAATAAACCTTTATTAAGTTCTGTGAAGGCTTGGAATATCTTGACTAGCTTATTTCTGAAATAGACTTGGAAATTTTAAGGTAGCTCAGCGGATGTGTTCCGATCGAAAAGTCACTGTGTCATTACATTCATTTCACGTATGTTTAACATGAACTTCCCTTACATTTAATTATTATGAATGTTTTTAATTGTTTTTCAACGAAAAGTAAGGAGTAATTAAGTTTTACATTCCTTCTTCAAAATGCGTTATATGAAGACAGCAAAAGGAAGTATTGTCTGTCCGCTTTTTAAATCATTTACACACCTGAAGAAGACTTTCTTCCGGGATGTTGCGTCGTGCAAACTAGTAGGTGTTTACAAATGTTTCGGAGGCGATTAATGCTTCCATCATCAGGGCATAATTGTTCTGATGACGGAAGTACTAAGCATTTCTGAAACGTCGGTAAATTTGTACCAGACAATGTGGCGCGATATCCGATAAGGTAACCTTTTTCATACTCGCGGTCATTGGAACCTAAAACCTCATCTATAACACAGGTAATCGGATTTCGATCAAATTTCGTGGTCTACACTAAATGTTGTTAGAGGGATATAATTTTGGTTGGCATCAGTGCATGGCTTGAAGCCCGTATAAAATGGCCGGGCCTACAAACATTGTACGTGACAAAACACAGACGAGGTGCAGTTAATATTTAGTAATATTTAAGTGGGTACACGAAAAAGTAATTCCTATCCGATTTATGCGGATTTATGGGTGAAAAATCTTGTTCATCCTTTCCATTTCGATTTCTTGCCAGCTGTTCCCCGCTCTTGACATCTGGCTGAACCATCTTATTCTGTCGTCAAATAGGCGTCTTTAATTTAAATTTTGGTTCTAGTGTCCTCGGTATCCATGTCCTGTGGGTTCTCTTCAAATTTCCAAATCATTACAGTCTCTTATCTTCTAACTCTAATAACGAATTTTGGGTTCTAAATTCTTTTCTGAAAGTTGAATTTCAAATTTTATCTTTTCCTTATTCCTCAGCCTTTCTCAAATTGTCGTGTGTGTTGCTTGGATTTTACTTCTGACTTCTTCTTAAGGGTTTAATTTCCGCATAAAATGATAACATTAATTTGAAATATATACTTTTTAAATCGTCCTTTGAATTTTTTGGGTTTTTTCCCCACATAAGTCCTTTCATTTTACACAATTTATAATTGAACAATATGAATTTTGAAAAAAAATTGGGAGGGGATGGGGACTGATTTTTTGTAGCTCAGTTTGAAGAATTAATGACGTATTCTTGTGAACATGGTAGTTGGGGACTGATTTCTTGTAGCTCAGTTTGAAGAATTAATGACGTATTCTTGTGAACATGGTAGTGATCCTTTGGGTTAAAATAAAAGACTGGGAATGTTTTTGACTTAGTTTTAGGGAGGACTGTTTTGCATTGAGTTAATTATGGGAGTCCAGCCTAAAGTAGCTTAGCTGGGTTAAATGATACACCTGTATTACTGAAAAATATATTTATCCTTACTTTTAAATTTCGTGCCGTTAGGTTTGAGATGTTGGTACTGAAGTCCAGTCAAAGATGGCGCGTGTGTGGTCAGCGCGGTTTGCAAGCTCTGTGTGAAAAAGTATGTTTTCTGACGTTTTACAGTCACAGTTTATCAACATTGGCAGCCTGGGATTTTCGATCGGTTTACTGAAACAGATAGCCCGTAAAAAATTAGGAGGTAAGTCATAATTAACACTAATTACTTCGACCAGTGTTTCTTGCATTTTTAGGTTATGGTTTGGGTTAAGCAAAATTAGTATTATTTTAGAACCCAATTTAGTGATTTATGTATAACTTGTTTCATACCTTGATAATGAGGGAACGTAATTTTGTAAGACGGTACACGTTTCTTGGAATGTGGGGGGGGGGAATCGGGTACGTTCAGCCTCAGGGAGTGAGTTGAGTGATAAAGTTCAACACCCTTCAGAGTGACAGGACGCCCTAGTTCGCACTTTCGTCTCCGCGTTGCTTCCTACCCAACAGACAGCTTTATCATATCAGGATAGGCCAACTAATTTTGAAGTGTCACTTCTTAAATATAAGAACTCCAGAAGTTGTGCGAGCTAATGTTTTAAAGTATAAGTAGCAATTTTCAGATAATTATGGAAAATTTATTCAAGGCGCTACGTATTCTGGAACACGCACATATTTTGTGCGTGATCTCTCGTGCGTAACTCAGATAATTCCCCCCATTTCTTCAGGGTTACGTTTACAGATTATACCAGCATACAGAATGGTAACTCATTGCTACAGAGTGTACAATTAAAACTGAACGCTACAAGTCACGTGCTATTGCGCAGAAATTGAATCGAAAACAAGTCCATCCCCTCCGCCCCTGCGACACTCCATTCAAGGTCACCCTGGTTTGCTTAGACCGCCAGTTACGCAAAGGCTGTGCAGGTGGTAACATGGCATGTTGACGAGCAGAGTGAATTCGCTATCGAACGTTGTTTCGCATCAAAATATTTTGCCCTTCTTCGTGTAACATTTAGTAGTGCTGAAAAACACAACAATTTACTGACTAGTAACATTTCGGGGCACGATAGAAAATGTGTCCGGCGTCGGACAGTGTCGACAGATGTTCTGTAATTATTTCCTGAGAAAAAAAAAGTCAAAAATCCAACTAATTTGTCTTGCTGTACTGATGTTACCAAAACATACAAATGTTAGCGTTTTAAATAGAACATTCCGTGTAAGTTGGCAACGCAGGCAAGTATGACGTCACACGTATATTGTGCTTCCATCTATCGGTAGCTGTTGTGGAACTAACTGTGCTGGTTCTGGATGGTTAACCTGTGTTGATGTTCATAAACTAGATGGTTAACCTGTGTTGATGTTCATAAATTAGAGTCGTAGTGTTTATAGGCGTAGTTCATATGGGAAATCTCAGACGTTGACGGACCCTGTTCATTATACACAAGGCTCATCAAGTTATAA